CATATGTATATGTATGTATATATGTATGTATGTATGTATGTATGTATGTATATATATGTATATATATGTATATATATGTATGTGTGTGTGTGTGTGTGTATGTATACATACACACACATACACACACATACACATTCATATTTTGTTGCATAATAATCACAAGGATTGATGATGACTTGCACCAGGACATCAAAGATTAACTGGATCAGGGATCTTATTTGTATAATTAATGGGTATAAATATCATCTGCTTTTCAAGGGCCATTTGAGAGAGATTCTCTGTAAAAATCCACATGACATACTCTGAAACATTATTATTCATGGTTAGTTATCATTTTATCAGTGGGGATAGCCATGATCTGCGTAAAAATCACAGCAACCTTTTCTTTTCAGCTATTATGTTAGCAAATGTAAGACCCCAACTTTTTTGGTTCAAAGCAGACTGATGAATTCCATGTGGGGAAAAAACAGGAAGATCTTATCTATGCTTCAGATCAATACTGTAGGGCCATGTCAGCATTTGATATCGCTAGATCTTTGATCTTGCATAACTCAGCATATGAAAAAGACAATCTCCAATAAAATAATGATATGACATTTAGACATTTACTTCCTCTTACAGAGTCTGCTGAAAAAACGGACTTGACTTAGAAATTCACATCAAGCCTTATTTAGGGTTTGTCTGACTGGCTTAGGCTGTATGAACACAACCACCACGGCTTATCCAAACCCAGAGGAAAGCTAGTAATGACTAAACAGACTTCCAGTAACTATGTTGGCTAAAGCTCTTTGGCACTTTCCAAGGTCCAGCATTCTCTTCCTTTCATCTGGAGTCCTCTTAGCATACAGTGAATGTTTGAGCGTGACATATCCCCACCCCTGTGAAAGTCTAGGAGAGGGCCACTTTTTCCTTATCCTGATGCACTTTGAATCAAAAAGTACAGACACAAGTACACAATGTCCCAGTTCCTCTATCACGCTGATTCATGTTTGGTGTGAACCTTGGATAAGCCCCTTCTTCACATGACATGGCCTTCCACAGCCAGCTAGGTCACAGGAGACAGCAAACCCACAATTTGCTTTATCTTTTCAGACATTCATCAAAACAAATTCCTTAAACAAATTGGACGGCCTAACTGATTGCAAAAACTGAGCTTTTTTTTGGGGGGGGGGCTAAACCTGCCCCCAACTTCTTACTGAATACATTTCATTTCCAAGTGGTGCAGAAGAGGTAAGAAATACACAGCAGGAGGAGATAGCTGGGTTGCGTGGTTAACCCATCTTGCAAATTTTATTACTGCCCATCATTAAAAGTTAAGGTTCCCCTAGCACATATGTGCTAGTCGTTCCTGACTCTAGGGGCTGGTGCTCATCTCCGTTTCAAAGCCAAAGAGTCACCGCTGTCCGAAGATATCTCCATGGTCATGTGGTCGGCATGACTAAATGCCGAAGGCGCACGGAACACTGTTACCTTTGGTAGTCCCTATTTTTCTACTTGCATTTTTTACATGCTTTCGAACTGCTAGGTTGGCAGAAGCTGGGAAAAGTAACAGGAGCTCACTCTGTTATGCGGCGCTAGGGATTTGAACCGCTGAACTGCCGACCTTTTTGGTTGACAAGCTCAGCATTTTAGCCACTGAGCCATCCATCATTATGAGGGATTTAACATTAACAGGGATTTTTGCCTGGATATTGACATTAAGGTTTAGGAAAATTAATCTAAAAAACTGAAGGGTACAAATTGGGGTTCTTCTCCTGCAGCTAGGCCAACTGCAGTAAGGCTTAATAGCTTATTTTCTTTGGCTTAGACCACTACTTCCCAAATCTGGGTAAATTATCCAAAACTGGGGAAATTTTTATTTCTTTTTCTTGGGGTAACAACATGCACCCCAATCACAGCAGGCCATTTTAACTGGCTTTAAGGTGGAGTAGCTTAACTATAACCTGGAATCATGGCCTCCAACACAACACGTATTAAGAGCAGCCACAAATCACAACTATATTTTGTAAGCCGCCCTGAGTCCCCTCAGGGAAAAGGGCGGCCTATAAATAATAATAAAACTAAAACTAAAACTAAACTAAACAACTGCACTGTTTTCAGCGAGGACAGTATGCCGGGTCAAAACCCTTGCATAACCCCCAGGGATTGGGGGGGGGGGGGAGTAAGGCTTCCTCTGCTCCATGCACTGTCACTTTGGATAGGAGCAGTCTACCTGATTGGCTGCGCATTCTTGCTTGGCTGAGTCTCTTAGCCATGATTAACGGAAAGCACAGGGCAGGAACGCCATGCTACTTAAGTATAGTTAAAAGTTGTTCCCCTTCTGCACTCTGGGTCTGACCAAGTTGTGCAGATCCAACACTGTGGTTTGTTAAGTCATGGCTTACAGCTCAGGGATCTGTGTAAACTCGGCCAACCCTTCTTTACCTAGTGATCCCTTCCCTAAGTAATCATGGCTTAATACATGTAAGGACAAACCACTGATTGAATATAACATATTCACATATTCTAAACTGAACCATAGTCTCTTCAATCAGGAAGGCGTAAGGCCTCATTTATGAATCATATAAACCATACCAAAGCCAAAAAAGACCCCCACATAAAACTTGTTTGACACACTGAACATTATTACGCCTCGGTTTAACCTTGGTTTGATCCCAAGTCACAATCACACATTTTCAGAAAGGGAGCTCGACTTGGGTTTCATCTCTGCTAAAAAAGGATCCAAAAGCAAGTGATGCTGTAAAACAGCAAGATGTTGGTTGGATGGATAGATAGATACCAAGATAGAGATAGATAGATAGATAGATAGATAGATAGATAGATAGATAGATAGATAGATAGATAGATAGATGATAGATACTGAGACATAGATAAATAGATACCAATCAATTGATTAATAGATACTCAGATACACATATGATAACTGAGATATAGATGATAGATATAGAGATAGATAAGAGAGATAGATACTGAGATAGACATCAAGATAGAGATAGATAGATGAGAGATACTGATCGATTGATCGATCAATAGACAGATACTTAAATTAGAAAGATACCAATAAGATACCGATCGATCGATAGATACCCATCGATCATCAATAGGTAGATACTGAGATAGATAGATAGCGATAAATGCATACCGAAAGTATAATGGTAGGTAGGTAGATGAGGTGTGTGTGTGTGTGTGTGTGTGTGTGTGTGTGTGAGAGAGAGAGAGAGAGAGAGAGAGAGAGAGAGAGAGACTGATAGTTAATTGGGGTCACTTAGTGGGAGTTACATTACTATTTCAGAAGCGACATCATTAACCACATATTTGTTATCTGTCTGTCTGTCTGTCATCTAATCTATCTATTTTATATATACATTCTGAAATAGCAACGTATCTCCCACTAAGTGACCCCAACTCCTTTCGGCAGCTGCCTGGAGTCCCGGGACACCCTTGGAATGAGCCACACGGGCTGCTTTTTCACACAGCCCCCCCCCGGTTTGTGTCGTTGCGAACACAACCGCTGCGGTTCCCCAGGGCCCGGTTCGAGGAAGACCTTCTGGGGCCACAACTTCTCCAGCCCACAAGCCACACTCGGCCGTCCAAGGACGGCCTAACACGGCCGCCCCTTCAGCCGACTCCGAGAGGGTTGAGAAGCCGCCATATGTGTCCCGCAAATAGGAAGCCCCCGAAGGCGCTGGGCGAAACCGGGGAGTCCCGTTCAAACCCACCGCCCGGGGTCCCCTCCCCAGTTACCTTCCCCGCGAGAGCCGCGCCTGGCGAGGAAACCGGCGGCGGAGGAGGAGGCGGAGGCGGCAGCAACGCGGCCCAAGATGGCTGCGAAACCCTCCCAGGCCCAGCCCGGCCACGCCCCGGCCCGCCAGCTGTCCCGGCGGGGTGTGGGGGAGAGAAAAGCAGGCTGGCCGGCCCGGCCACGCCGCCAGGAAAGCCGCCGGTTCCTCCACGAAGTGCGCTCGCCTCGGCCTCGCCTGACACCACGGCCGCCGCGCCCCCCTCGGCCCCGCCTCAGCTGCCCGTCGCCGGGAAGGGGCGGGAAAGCGCTCGCCCCGAGGCCACAGCCGCTGCCGCCGCTGCCGGCATGAGGAGGTCGGCAGAGGGGCCGCGCGCCAAGAGGCCGAAGCTGAGGGACGAGCCGGGCCGCCTCAGGTAAGCGCGAGCCGAGGGTGAAGGAAGCCGCCCACCCGCCCTACTTCTCCTTAGACCGCGGGTAGGGAAGGGCCGCTAAGCTCTTCTCCCCGGGCTTGGTGAGCTCCCTCTCCGGCTTGGTTGGGCAGAAAGAGCGGCGTCGTGCAAATCCTCCGCTCGGGGACGGCGGGGGAATCGGCCTCTGTGGAGAAACTAAATCAGATTAGATTAACAGAGTTGGAAGGGGCCTTGGAGGTCATCTAGTCCATCCCCCTGCCCAAACAGGAGGCCTTATACCATTTAACAGAGTTGAAAGGGGCCTTGGAGGTCATCTAGTCCATCCCCCTGCCCAAGCAGGAGGCCTTATACCATTTAACAGAGTTGAAAGGGGCCTTGGAGGTCATCTAGTCCACCCCCCTGCTCAAGCAGGAGACCTTATACCATTTAACAGAGTTGAAAGGGGCCTTGAAGGTCATCTAGTCCACCCCCCTCCGCCCACAGGAGATCCTATACCAATTCTGATAGATGGCAGTTCCAGTCTCTTCTTGAAAGGTTCCAGGGATGAACCTACAACAACAACAACAAAATGTGGCTCTGTGGGGAGAGAAAATCCCCCCCCCACAAGTGGGAGTAAAGGCTTCCCATAGTAACAACTCAGCTACCACCCTGCTCTTAGTTGCAGTGCTGGGTTTGTGTGGAAGNGGCTCCTGCTGGGCAGAGTTGGTGCCACTGTCATGATGTGAGTCAATAATTATGTTTAGCCCTTTTTTCGGGGGTCAAAAGAAAATAAGACCCGGCCTTCTTTTTGGAGAAACAGATTATTAATTATCTATTGTAGTTAAGGAACAAAGTTACGCCTGGCATCATAAAGCTGATTTTCTATGCGTCAGCTTCTTTATGAACAGTACTAGTTTCTGACATACTTGCTTTATAGATTTTATATTTGTTGGACTGAAAACATTAAGTCAAGTTTAACACTTTTTAAAAATTAATAACTATTTTTCCTACTTCGTAACTATAATGAGAGATACATTGTGCGCAGAGTAGCTTATGGGGTATGGTCCAGCAGGAATTGCCATGGACAAGGAAAAGTGAATTTGGTTTGCTACTCCATTTTCCAAGTATTTCATTTGCTATTCTACATTTCTTGCCAAAAGAGGCTAGAGAGAATACTCATCTACCTCCCCTAACACTTGCAGCAGATTACTAAATCACAATCTTGTGCTGAAGAAAAAGTTACTTGGCTAAAAGAAAAAACAATTCATTTGCAGAGGAAGAAAAACTAAGGAAAAATAAAACAAGAAATGTCACTTTATGTTATATCCCAAACCAACTAGCCCCCACTCCAAGAATTTTAAGAGGAGAACTTTTACTAATCCAATTTTTGCAATGAGAAAAGGCCCACTGATTAGTCTCGCTACCTAGTTCTGAAATGAATGGATAAATGATCATGTCTGCTATCTGAAAACTGATTCATCATAGAAGCATAGATATGTGAGACGTGAGGCTGATAACTATTATACTGGTGAACACATGCAGTATGATAGAAAAACATTGCAGAAGCCCTGTGCCCTCTGAATTTTACCAGTGTAGTTTCTAAAAAAGAGAACCTGTGAATAAAATGAGAGAGGGAGAGAAAACAGATGATCAATCAGTCCTCTTATTCAAAAATCCATCACAAAATAAAGTAGAGAAAAATATGACAAACCTATTCAGAGATTTTGCTGCTAAGGGGAGAAAGGCAGACAGAAATGAACAAAGGGGGAAAAACTTATTTATGCTTCTTGGCAAAACATTCTTATTAGCAGATTTTTTAAATTATTTTTTCCTTTCTACA